CGTCCTAACTTCTCAAATTATGCAAGGTTCCACCAAAGTTGACAACCCTGCACAAATATTTTTTTTTCTAATTTTCATACAGACGCCATACAAATGCATGTTCTTGAGGGACCCTATGTTACTCATTAACATAAATTGTTGTGCAGCCTACATTCCGTGCGGACTATATGGACTATCTGTCCAAAATGGTGATGGTAATGATGGGTTTAGTTGTTGGCAGAATGATTTTACCAAGCATAATATTTATTAGAAAAGAACGTCGCAAAAAAAATGATTTTGTGCTTTTCATTTTGTACGTGGTTGTGACTCAGAGAGATATATGGCGAGTGCCACATGTGGAGCAGGATGGGCTCACTCTTTTCGAAACACCTGACATCACCTCTTGGTTTGTGTCTTGAGGTCCATGTATCTCTCTCACCGATTTGACAGTGTGTTGTTTGTTTTGTTTGTGTGTCCCCTGTGTGTTCTCAGATTTGTAAATATTGCCTTTTGACATTGATTGTTTGGATTATAGTTGGGTATTGTTGCTTGGATTTCCACAACGGCCACATAAGTCACGATGTAGTGTAAGTTTCTTCCCCGAAAACAGTAAATGACGTAACTGTCATACAAACTGTGTTTGGTGGTTAGAACAGCTGATTTCGACATTGGTAAGGTAGTTTAATAATAGATTAACAAAATCCATAAATAACATCTGTGTCTGTTGGTTTTAATATGGCTGATGGTACGCACGCATGCGCACTGAGTTAATGCACACCGACATCGTGGATAGTATAAATTCTGAAATATTTATCTGAAAGTGTCAACAATTTATTTACCTGCTACAAGCATTGAATAGATTTGCATTTCGTTTCCATTCTGTGATTGTGTACTTGCCTGAAAAGGCCATGGGTGTTATTTTAGCCAAAATAAACAACCCCGAATTAAATTGTACTATTAAATCTGTAGTATTGTAACTTGTCCTAAAAAACCTCCTAAACCTTATAAATCTACCAGAATGAAAGTAAGGGAAAGTTGTTAAATACAATCGTGTTACTTAGTATTTCTCTAAAGCCAAGGTTTCGTTTAGTAAGTGGCTATATAAATATCATATTTAATTTCTCCAGTCTTATGGATGAAAGTATAGTTGTTGGCTCTGTTCATAATATCTGTTCAAAAACTTGAGTGCACCTGTATATTTGACGCATGAATTGGGGGGGGGGGCAAAGGGGTATTTCTGGTTACAGGAAATAAAAACGGCATTTTACGTTTTTACAGGAAATAAAATGAAAGTTTCATTTACAGTAAAAAATAGGTTTTTACACTTTTTTACACAAGCAAATTCCTAATTACATTTTACATTTTTAAAATTTGTGTTTAAAAATCAAAATTGGAAACTGCGAATGAATTACGACATTTAATTTGAAAAATACTTCATACGCTTACATAAAATAATTAAATCTTTGTACAAATTACGGACGAATTAAATTGCTTATTACATTTTACACCTTTGCCCATATCTACAACTTTACGTTTTTTATTTATTTAAATTACATTATTACGAAAATGAAAACAATTGATTACAGCTTACGAAAATACCTCCTTGCCTACCCTCATAAATATATTACCATGACAGCAATGTCATTCATAACTTTCTCAAGTCCTGCGCATGTTCACCTTCCTTTGAGCAGCTTTTTTTATCTAATGTTTGGTTTTATACATCTACCTTCAAATATACAGTACCGGTATAACATATAGTATAATTTAGGGTTTTTTTTGGAAAATAAGTTTGTGTAGAAAATGATGATTCAGTGCAATTTCCTTATTTGACATTATTTCAAAGATCTAACATTTAATAAACTTTTCTAAACAAATTAATTGATATAATATTTTACGAAAATGTAGGAAATATAGAATGGTGTATAATTTGACACAAAATGCGAACAAAAAGAATCTGATCCCTGTGAGCATGACTTGAGAAGGCTTGAGATGATATATTATATTTGCATGGTCGTTATGATAATATATTTGAGTCTCGACTTTGCCTTCAACAACTGGACAGATAATATTGGCATAAGTCAGTACATGTGATTTATATACATTGCAAACAATACATGCATGACTGTTTTATTTGAATTAGTTGTTCTAATATTGTCTTGACATAATACATTCGGTGAATACAATGTTATTACATGTGAATAGTGGACATGTAGTGTAAAATTTGTAGTTCGCTATATATTCGTAAGATTATTCCCCATGCACTCCACGTTTATTTCGTACATAGTTGCCCGATTACTTCTTAACACCTGTGACGTTATCAAATATGTTACGAATACAAACTGAATATTGTGTGAAATCATGTTTACATGTACTGTTTGTCAGTGTTATATGTTACATTTGTACATATTTAGTGCGCCCTCTATCTGCATTTTATTTGGTATGGTGAGCTTAATCTTCAATTATTAATAATATAAAACACAATGAATAAACTCTGCTTGAGGACATCGTGTGAGGGGGCTATTAAAAAGCCAATATATAACTTCTATGTCAGCTATTTTGTTTATGAATACAGAGGGCTTGTTAATCAGGGATGACCCATTGGAAATCACGGGGGATGGCTGGAAGAGTCTGAACAGTGTAATTTGTTTTCACAATGTTTGAACTGTATATTTTTATTGAACATGACAACATTTATTAGTCTGCAATTTATTTCACTTGGTGTATAGCTTGCAATCAACTTGTTCGCACCCACTTTTCGCTGGTCGACCCCTTGATCATAATACTTGAACGATGCGTTACGCCCTCTAGTGCGTTACGCTTCTATGACGTAAACGGTGACACGAAATCCGTTCAAATCGTCGATGTTGTTTTGATATG